ACAGCAGCAGCCCGTTTGTGAGCGCTAGCAGCAGCCCAGAGGAGGGGTTCCGCCCAGAGGAGAGTTTCCGACTCCCACACACCCACCTCACTCCCCTGCAAACGTTCCCCACCACCACCACCCCTACCACTGCCACTGCCACCGCTGCTGCTACTGCTACAGCTGCTGATGCTGCTGCTGCTGCTGCTGCCTGTGCTGGAGCACCCACGGCGTCTCTGCCTCCCCGTCTGCCCGCTGATGCTACCTCCGTGCTGCTTAGTAACCGATCTGCTGCGCTCTGCTGGTACGCCTTTGATGATTTGTGAGGTGCCTTGGAAGCTCACACTGCATCTGCCCTTGCTGCCCCTGCCTCCTGGTGCTACCTCCGTGCTGCTCAGTAACCTATCTGCTGCGCTCTGCTGGCATGCCGTTGACAGTTGCCTTCAGTTGCCTTCATGGGACTGACTCCTTTCCCCCTTCTCCTGGATGGTGGATGGGTATGGGTGTGGGTGGGGTGTTGCAACAACCATGCACACGCACATGCTCTCACGCACACTCTCTCTCTCTCTCTGTCCACACCACATTCGGAACTCCTCCACCCATCTACACCGATTACCCATCCATCCCCCCTCCCTCCATCCCCCCTCGCTCCATCCCCCCTCGCTCCATCCCGCCTCCCTCCACGGCCCCCCCAATCCGCCAGTCTGAGCAAGCGTCTACGCAGCATCCCAGCAGCACAGTCGGAGCGCAGGGCTCTCTACGGCCTCGACCCTCTCTCCCTCGCGCAGGTGCCACTACACTAGGCGGCCCTTGAGGTGAGTTTTGAGTCGACTCAAAAGTCACCTCGACTCGACCCCCTCTCCCTCGCGAAGGTGCTATTACAGATAGGCCCCTTCCATTCCACTCGCCCCGCCCACGTGACTGTTGAGTCGACTCAACAAGCAAGTAGGAGAGAGTCAGAGCAGCAGAGAGCCCGTCTCCTCTCTTGCGCATCTGCTCTGTCCCTGCTGCCTGCCACCTAGTCTGCCGTTTCCTTGAAACTGGTCTCTTATGGTTGGATGCCTCACCTTCAGTCGTGTTTAGAGTCGACTCAAAACACGTTTCCTTGAAACTGGTCTCTTATGGTTGGATGCCTCACCTTCAGTCGTGTTTAGAGTCGACTCAAAACACGTTTCCTTGAAACTGGTCTCTTATGGTTGGATGCCTCACCTTCAGTCGTGTTTAGAGTCGACTCAAAACACGTTTCCTTGAAACTGGTCTCTTATGGTTGGATGCCTCACCTTCAGTCGTGTTTAGAGTCGACTCAAAACACGTTTCCTTGAAACTGGTCTCTTATGGTTGGATGCCTCACCCTCTGCAAATCTCTCCTGCCATCTCTCCTCTGCCTGTGAATGCCTGCCTGTGACAGCTGGCTCTCAAGGATGCGGAGAAGCTAGTGAAGCAGAGCGAGGAGTGGCCCAAGGCGCACTCTAGAGTCGACTGGAAATCTGCCTGCCTGTGAATGCTTACCTGCCTGCCTGCCTGTCTGCCTGTCTACCCGTGACAGCTTGCACTCAAGGATGCGGAGAAGCTAGTGAAGCAGAGCGAGGAGTGGCCCAAGACACACTTTATTTAGAGTCGACTGGAAATCTGCCTGCCTGTCTGTCTGTCCGCCTGCCTGTCTGCCTGTCTACCTGTGCCAGCTGGCTCTCAAGGATGCGGAGAAGCTAGTGAAGCAGAGCGAGGAGTGGCCCAAGGCGCACCTCAGGAAAGCAGCGGCTCTCGTTCTCGTGAGTGGCTGGCTGCTGCTGCTGCTGCCGCCTCCGCCGCCGCTGCCATGCTTGTTGTGCTTCTCACGGTCACATGCTCGCTGTGTGGTATGAGAAGCATGAGAATGAGAAGCATGAGCATGAGAAGCCCAACAAGCTTATCTTATCGGTTCCCGAACGTCATCCCTCCTACACCACCTTACACTGCCCTTCCCGTAATTCCCGCGCCCCTAGCCCCTCTCTTCTTCTCGCCCCCCTCTTCTTCTCGTCCCCCTCTCTCGCACCTGCCCATGCCACATCTCCCGTCTCTCACTGCCACAGTTGGAGCGATACAGTGATGCTCGAGAGGCGTTTCTTAACGGCCACCGTTCAGTCAACTCAAAGCTCGCTCTCCTTCCCTCCCTGCTCCCGCCCACCTGCCCTCGCTCTCTCACTGCCACAGTTGGAGCGATACAGTGATGCTCGGGAGGCGTTTCTCAATGGTCTTCACGTTGATCCCACCAAGTGAGCCTGGCCCTGGTCATGTGTATGCTCGGGAGGCCTTTTCCCAAGTGAGCCTGGGCCCTGGGGTGGGGCACCTTTTGAGGCGCCTCAAAAGTTTTCCCAAGTGAGCCTGGGACCTGGGGTGGGGCACCTGCTGTTGCAGCGTGCATGCACGTGGTTTGCCTGATGCATGGGAGGGTATGGGCATGAATGGTTGACCTAGTCACATGCGTCTCCTGCTGTCCTGCTCTTGCGCCCTCGTTTCTGCGCCTTATGACATGCCTTTCTCTTTTCTCTCCACTCCCTCCTCAGCCCTCACCTCGCCTCTCCTCCCCCTCTCACCTTCCCTCTCTGCCCCTGCCGTCCCCCGCCCCTGCCCCATCTACACCATATAAGATGCAGACAAACTTCCCCCACCACCTCCCCCCATCACCTCCCCCCACCACCTCTCCCCATCACCTCCCCCCACCACCTCCCCCCATCACCTCCCCCCATCACCTCCCCCCACCACCTCCCCCCACCACCTCCCCCCACCACTTCCCCCCACCACCTCCCCCCATCACTTTCAGAGGAGGAGGAGGTGCGACGAGTGCCTTCCCTATCACCTGCCTTTCATGTTTCCTTGCTCCCCTTATCCCTTCCCACTTCCCACTTCCCACTTCCCCCACTGCCTTCCCCCGTGTGCCCTCCTTGGCCCGTTGCTGCAAGCGGGGCTGCAGGAGCTAACAGCAGAGGAGAATATTCAGATCAGACACTCGCCATCTGATCTGACTGTTACACGACCCACTGCCTTTCCCCGCCTGCCCATGTGCCCCGCCCCCCCAGCCCGCTGCTGCAAGTTGGGCTGCAGGAACTTACAGCAGAGGAGGAGGAGGAGGTGCTACAAATATGTGACTCTCCTCAAATGCCTCACCCAATGCCTCCCCATACGTGTTCTCCCCACGTGTGCTCCCCCCAGCCCGTTGCTGCAAGCGGGGCTGCAGGAACTTACAGCAGAGGAGGAGGAGGTGCGTCGAGTGGTGCAGGCAGGGCGGGGGGGGGGAGGAGGGGGGGAGGGGCGGAGGGGCGGAGGGCGGGAGGGGCGGAGAGAGGGCGAAGGGGTAGGAAGCAAGGGGAAGGAGGCAGGGGAGGGGAAGGTCGAAGAAGTCTCTTTGTCGTCTTCTGAGGGGGAAGAGGAAAGTGATGAGGAGGAGGACGAGGAGGAGGAGGGGGGGGAGAGAGATAAGAAGGGTGTGGAAGGGGGAGGAGGGAAGAAGGAGGGAGGGGAGGCAACGGGAGAGGGGGAGGTGGTGGTGGTGGGGGATGGGGAGCAGGAGGAGGGGAAGGATGAGGTGAGGAGGAAGAGGGCTAGGAAGGGGAAGGGGAAGAAGGGGAAGAGGAACGAGCAGCAGCATGCGGAGCAGGAGGAGCATGGGAACAATGAGAAGAGTGAGCAAGCAGTGGAGCGGACAGAGGAGTTTGACTGCAGTCTGTGCCTGAAGCTGCTGTTTCACCCGGTCACCACCCCCTGCGGTATGCCAGTGCTTGTCATGTCACCACGCCCTGTGGTATGCCAGCACTTGTCATGTCACCACGCCCTGTGGTATGACAGCATTTGTCATGTCACCACGCCCTGTGGTATGCCAGCACTTGTCATGTCACCACGCCCTGTGATATGCCAGCACTTGTCATGTCACCACGCTCTGTGGTATGCCAGCACTTGTCATGTCACCACGCCCTGTGGTATGCCAGCACTTGTCATGTCACCACGCCCTGTGGTATGCCAGCACTTGTCATGTCACCACGCCCTGTGGTAGGCATGAGCAAATTCACGAACGCCTGTTCGGTTCGCCTCGAACATGTTCGAGGCGAACCGAACAGACTTTTTTTTTTCGCCTAATTCGTTCGGGGCGAACGTGTTCGGTGTTTGGCCGAACACGTTCGCCGTTCGCCTACGACCTTTGGCCACGGGATGCCGAACACGAACATGTTCGTGTTCGACGGGGGGGACCGACGAACACCAAAATGCTCGCGTCAAATTTTGGCCGCGACCAAATTTAGGTCGCGGCCGTTTTGTGTTTGAGCTCATTTCTTGAGCTCAAACACAAAACGACTTTAGCGCTTAGCCCACCCTCCCACAACCGCCATAGCCTAGCAGTTTTAAGAGCCACAGCACTCCGTTCATGAGATTTAACACGGACATTTCATCTAACTAGTCTGTAGTTAGGGTAATTTCATGAACATTAGGGTTGGTAGCTAGAGGATCAAGCTTGTAGCGGTCAATTCTCTAGTTGTAGCCGTAGGAGCGGGCTTTTCTCCGTGCCACAAGTAACTATTAGGTCAATTAAGACCGTGCTATCCGTGGCACGCTACCGTTACTCGTTCCAGTTTTATGGCCGAGGGTGGAGTTATGGCTTCCTCCGGCCAGGGAGGATCTGCACAACAAGGTGCAAGCTTTAGTCAGGGCGGTACACCAGGTTCTCCACCACGACCAATGTAGGGGTGAGTAGGGGACGGAATCGCAGGAGCCGGTGCTTGTTTCGTCGGGGGGTTTCTTTCGGCAGTGGCGCCGACAGGAGGTGGGGGGGGGGGGGGTGGGATGGTGCAGGATGACGAGTTTAGCAGGTACTTGTCCGAGAGGGTGCGGTGCGACGTGACAGCGCTAGAATATTTGCGCACCGCCACCAACATGCAGACGCTGAGGCGCATGGCGCGGGATTATCTTGCCATCCCTGCCACGTCCGCTTCGAGCGAGCGGGTGTTCTCTCTTGGAAGCGGCACCGCCTGGCCTGTCAGAGGATGCGAGCTGTCATGATTCTCAGATCATGGTACGGTTCACACCCTGGGGAGAGGATCGGCGAGGGCCGCCGACCGAGAGGAGTCGCACCACCAGAGTTCGCCATTGAGGGTGAGAGGTTGGAGGAGGACGAGGAGGAGGAGGAGGAGGAGGAGGGGGTGGAGGCAGACGTAGCTGGTGGAGAGGATGTTGTTGTTGGTAGTGGCAGTGGCGCCATGGCGTAGGAATTAGTATGACATAGACATTTTCCTACACTGAACATGATGTTGTAGTGGTTGGTGCGTTTCATGAACACGTATACACCCTGCACCCTCTTTGCTATCATCCTGCACCCTCAAATTCGTATTCGGACTAGTGTGACTATATTGAATTCCCCCCTGGGCAAACACGAACATGTTTGCCACGAACGTGTTCGTGTTCGCCTGCTGCAGCAAATTGTTCGCCTCCTAGGGTGAACGGCGAACACCTATTTTCAGTCAAGTTGTTCGCCGAACCGAACACTGTTCGGTTTGGTAGAAGGCCATGTTCATGAGGGGGCGAACACGAACATGTTCGAGTTCGCCCCCTGCTCATCCCTACCCTGTGGTATGCCAGCACTTGTCATGTCACCACGCCCTGTGTTCTGCTGTGCGGTTTTTTTTTTTTTTAAGCCATGTGCAGTGGACGACTGGCTGTTGGGAAGAATCTCTTAGCAAAACGAATTCTGCCCCTCTCCTTGTCTTTCTTTTCTGCTGGTTCGTTCTCTCACGCACCACCCCGCCCTCTGTCCCGTCCCCCCTCTTTCTTCCCCACCCCCCCCCACCCCTCTCTTTCCCTTTCTGCAACCTTCTTTTCCTGTCTTTTGTTCCTCCCACATCTCGCCCCCCTGACTCCCCCCATTCGTGTTCCCCCCTCACTGCACCCTGTCTCGCCCACTGCAGGGCACACCTTCTGTCGCTCCTGTCTCGTGCGTGTGCTGGATCATGGTACGTTCCTTTGTTGTATAATGTGCCTCTGTTGTGCCTGTGACTTTTGAGTCGACTCAGAAGTCGCTCCTGACTCGTGCGTGTGTTGGATCATGGTATGTGTAATGTGCCTCTGTTGTACGTTCGTAGCAAGCATACATGTGCTTTTGAGTCGACTCAAAAGCACCTTCTGTCGTTCCTGTCTCGTGCGTGTGCTGGATCATGGTATGTCATGTGCATGTGTCCCTGTCACATGGTCACACACACCATCCATGTGTTTTGGGACGGCTCAAAGCTGGTTGGTCTCTCTCAATGATGCTGCAGTGCTCTGGCATGTGCCGGGAATTTTTTAGTCGACTCAAAAATCGTCTCATCACTTGCTGTGGTATGGTGCCATGTGACAAGTAAATAACCATACTGCCTCACTCCTTCCAGGAGAGAAGATAAAAAAAGAAAGAAGCAGCTGTTCAAGTTACTATCCTGCCATTGCTCCATGTGTCCCCTTGCTTCTTGCTCTCATTCTCCTCTTGCTCTCCTCACATTCTCCTCTCTTTCTCCTCTCCTCCTCTCCTGCAGGCAACAAGTGCCCCGTGTGCCGCACTGTTCTCTTTGTCAGTCCCATGCAACACCCCGTCAGGTGAGTTGTCAAAAGTGAACAGGTGGGCTGCGGAGGCCTTATTTCCATCAACTCTTGCTGTTTTAGGACTGAGAAACAAACCCCATGGAATGATGGTGGAAAAGGCCTGTTTTCGCGCTAGCTTAGAGCGTTTCTTCGAGAGCCAGTATGGATCAAATCTTCATAACAAGTGCTCCCCCTTGCAGTGTGCCCCTACAGGCCGTTCTGGCGTGGATGTTCCCAGAGGCGTATGAGGAGAGGAAGTGTTTTGAGAGTGGGAACATCCGCGCCTGAGACGTCTCAAAACACTTCTTCATACACGCTGATATTCCCAGAGGCGTATGAGGAGAGGAAGTGTTTTGAGAGTGGGAACATCTGCGCCTGAGACGTCTCAAAACACTTCTTCATACACGCTGATGTTCCCAGAGGCGTATGAGGAGAGGAAGTGTTTTGAGAGTGGGAACATCCGCGCCTGAGACGTCTCAAAACACTTCTTCATACACGCTGATGTTCCCAGAGGCGTATGAGGAGAGGAAGTGTTTTGAGAGTGGGAACATCCGCGCCTGAGACGTCTCAAAACACTTCTTCATACACGCTGATGTTCCCAGAGGCGTATGAGGAGAGGAAGTGTTTTGAGAGTGGGAACATCCGCGCCTGAGACGTCTCAAAACACTTCTTCATACACGCTGATGTTCCCAGAGGCGTATGAGGAGAGGAGAGGGGGTGCTCTCAAGAATCAGGCCTCAAGACAAGACCCCCTCAGTCAACTCAAGCGCCTTCTTTGAATCGCCCCTGCCCTGCTGTTGTTCCCTACTCCTGCAGCAACTCAAGTCTCGAGATTCACAACCCCTGTCATGTCAACTGGAGAAGCTCGTTGATTCTCTGACATTTTCCAGTGAACTGCAGTGTTCCAATGTCAGAGGATCTTGTTACTCCTTCCCTTGCAGCAACTCAAGTCTCGAGATTCACGACCCCTGTCATGACAACTGGAGAAGCTCGTTGATTCTTCTGGTCCCCCCCTTGTCTCCCTTCTCCCTTTCCTCCTCCCTGCACAGTGTGACCCTTCAGGCCATCCTTGAGCGGCTGTTCCCAGAGGAGTATGAGGAGAGGCAATTGAAAGTGCCAACCAAGTCCCCCCCGCCTCTGAATCTCCCCTATCCTGCTGCCACCTCTTCTCTTCGTCTCCCTCCCCTGCAGTGTGACCCTTCAGGCCATCCTAGAGCGGCTGTTCCCAGAGGAGTATGAGGAGAGGCGGCAGGAGGTGGAGGGGGAGAAAGTGGTGGGGCGAGAGGTGAGTTTTTTCGGGGGGGGGGACAGGTGAGTGTGTGGGAGTGGGTAGTGCGTGTGTGGGGAACAGGGGAGTGGGGGAGAGGCGAGTGAGGGAGAGGGGGAGTTATACCATTTCGTGCTGTGCTGTATTACATGCTCTATGTCTATTCAATGAAGGACCATTCGTGGTGAGTTGTTGGCAGTGGATAGTACCCTGTTCTATCTTGTTCCACCGCTCTAAAGAACACCGCACTCCCCTGTGCCGTCCCCCACCCCTTTCCACTCACGCTGTGCTGCCTCTGCTTTGCGTGAATTCCGCCTCCTTCTCGTGAGCACAGAATCAATACTTTTAAGCGAAAGGATAAGCATCCCACACTCCCCTCCACTCCCCTCCACCCCTCTCCACCCCTCTCCACCCCTCTCCACCCCTCTCCACCCCTTCATGCGTGCATCAGATCCTGCCTCTCTTCGTCATGGACTCTGTGCTGCCCGGGCAGACGTTGTGCTCCATCAACCAGTCCCTCTCCACCCCTCGTCACCCCTCTCCACCCATCTCCATTCTTGCGTACATGTGTGCGTGCATCAGCCTCTCTTCGTCATGGATTCTGTGCTGCCAGGCTAAAAGATGAGCTCTAACCCTTTTCTAACCCTTCCCAAGGCTCTCTCCACCCCTCTCCACCCCTGCATATGCATCAGGTCCTGCCTCTGTTCGTCATGGATTCTGTCCTGCCAGGCCAAAAGATGGCGCTCAATATATTCGAGCCCCGATACCGCCTCATGGTGGGTGGAAGGGGGAGAGAGGGGGGAGATAGGAAAGGGGGTGCGGGAAGAGAGACAAGAGAGACAAAGGGGTTATGATGAGGGTGGTGTGGTGGGGAGTGACTCATGCATGCGTGCATCAGTCAGGCTCTGTGCTGCCAGGCCAAAAGATGGCACTCAACGTATTCTAGTTTTGAGGCGCCTCAAAGTCAGACTCTGTGCTGCCAGGCCAAAAGATGGCGCTCAATATATTCGAGCCCCGATATCACCTCATGGTGGGGCCGAGTGGGGAGGGTTGGGGTGGGAAAGGGGGGTGCATTGCTGGTGGGGGAGGAGAGAGGCAAGAGGTGATGGTGGGGAGGGGGGGGGGGGGGGGGGGGAGGGGGAGGGGGAAGGTTGATTGTGGGGGGTGATAGTGGGGGAGGAGAGAGGCAAGAGGTGATGGTGGGGGGGAGGGGAGGGGGGGGCAAAGGGTGATGGTGGGGGGTGATGGTTGGGGGGGGAGAGGCAAAGGGTGATGGTGGGGGGTGATGGTGGGGGGGGGGGGGTGGGGGTTCCATTTTTGAGACGTCTAAAAAACTCACTTTTTACACGTGATGGTGGGGTGGTGGTGTGGGGGTTCCATTGGTGCCAGGGCAGAAGATGGCTCTCAACATATTTGAGTATGAATGCCCTGCTTTTATGGCACTTTTTTTGCACTCTCAAGCTACATGCTTCATGCCTTCCTTTGCTTTCTGAAGGCGATTGTGTGCATTTGCATTTGCATGTGCATGTGCATGTGTGTGTGTGTGTGTGTGTGTGTGTGTGTGTGTGTGTGTGTGTGTGTGTGTGTGTGTG